AAGGGTTGAAATATGATGGAACTTTATTCAAAAGCACGAAACTATCATTATTTAATTAATTCAAACCAAATTTTACCCATATTCAGGTTTAATACGTTATTTTATAAATTTTGACAACTAGGGGTAGTTTTAACCCCTAAGAACAATCAGGGTTCGTCGACATGACATAAACTATAAAGCAGTGGGTGAATTGAGCTTAAATCCAAATTTTTATCCAAATCGATTCAAAGCGAAATTATTTTTTAGAATTAGTAATTTTTTTACATTAATATCTAACAAGGGTTGCTTTTTAAGGGTTGAAATATGACGGAACTCTATTCAAAAGTATAAAATAATCTAACGGCGTTAAAAAAGACAAAGCAAGACGCTTCTTTAAAAAGAAAAACCTTAAATTAAGAGTATTAGCTCCTGAGATACAACCAGTCTACAACAGTCAACCATGATCCATCTAGATTACATACATTAATAGAAATTCCAATGTCAAAATACAACTTTGAGAAAGAATTAAATATCATTAAGCAAATGGCAATAAACAATCGGTACAGCTAACAAACAATTAATAAAATTTTAAATCAAAAACTACGTAAGAATGCCCTGAAATTAGTATTTTCAGGAGTGTTTAAAATTAATTCAAAAAACCTAATTATTATTATATAATGATCTTATTTTTTTATATAAATTTTCAATATAAATTTTAAGCACTAGAAGTATGTAAAATGCTATTTTAAAGTATTATTTTCATGTAAAATTTTATAATATAATTTTTTTGGTCACCATGAACCTGAGGAGTACCCCTAGTATATGGTCACCTTAGTTTAAGAGGCACTTTCAGATAACCCCATATATATATATATATATATATATATATACACATATATATATATATATATATATATATATATATATATATATATATATTTATATATATATATATATATATATATATATATATATATATATTTCGAATTCGATTTTTATTGATTTTGATTGAATCCGGTACCATTCACAATATTTCTATCATGAATCATTTATTCTCCATTTGGGCGATTACCGTAAAGTACACATGCGTTACGTTGCCCTTGATTCTGTCTTATTCTTTAAGTTGAACTGGAATTAATTTTGTATTACGTCACAAAAAGCAAGGTTCCTTATAAGAACATTGCCAATATGCTTGTCTCAAAGGTGTGTTTTGTGGGACGACTGGATTTTGACTTCACAAAAACAACTTTACTAATATGGAGTGATCATCTGTTAGGTATAATTTTTAATATCATTAATAAACACAATAGCCGATAATAAAAGTACAGGTTAGATTTAGAATTAAGATTTAGATAAAATGTCTCATTTTATTTGGCTTTCTTCATGTACGAGATAGATATCATTATATTTATTCAAAGATGTTTTGATCTTTTGCGTCAGTTACATCTCTCGGCACGATCTTTGTTTCGACTATTGGACTATTTTTAATATTTATAACTGCCCAACGCTTAGTACCTACCCCACATCAACGGTAATCTTAAAGTGCCTCTTAAACTAAGGTACCCCTCAGGCTCATGATGGCCAAAAAGATTATATGTATTACAAAATATTACATAAAAATAATACTCTAAAATAGCATTTTACACACTTTTAGTGCTTAAAATTGATATTGAAAATTTATATAAAAAAAATATGTCTAACTTAGAAGCCACTGTTAGAATACAGGGAGAGAGTTCTAGATCCTTTGAGATAAAGGATGGGCTCAGACAAGGAGATGCTCTGGCTTGCCTCCTATTTAATATTGCCTTAGAAAAGGCAGTCCGAGATACACGAATTAAGGATGGCGGTACTATTTACAATAGATCGATACAAGTCTTAGCATATGCTGATGACATTGACATAGTAGGGCGTAGCAAGCGAGATGTTGAGCAATATCTCCTAGAATTGGAAACAGCGGCGAAACAGGTCGGTCTAGTCATCAACGAAGACAAAACCAAGTACATGCTGGTTACAAAGGATCCGATAGTAAATAAGGAACGAGAAACATTCTTTGGAAGTCATACCTTTGGATGTGTCGACAACTTCACATACCTTGGGTCGCTATTAACTGCTACCAATAAAACAAGCGAAGAAATCCAAAGACGAATAAATCTTACAAATAGGGCATACTATGGACTCGAAAAGCATTTCCACTCAAGAAACATTCAAAGAAAAACTAAAATTATTATATACAAAACATTGCTGAGGCCGGTCCTCACATATGGAGCAGAAACATGGACTCTAACGCAGAAAGATGAAAGACTTTTGGGAATATTTGAGCGTAAAATACTCCGCAAAATATTTGAGCTGTAAATGACCAAGGGCAGTGGCGCAGAAGATATAATTTTGAATTGTATCAGCTCTTTGATGAGCCAGATGTCATACCGTTCATTAAAACACAGCGACTTAGATGGGCCGGACACATAATACGAATGCTAGAAAATACCATTGCTAAAAAGCTAACCACAGGAACACCTGTAGGAAAAAGAAGCAAAGGCCGACCGCGAATTAGGTGGTTAGATGGAGTAGAAACCGACTTACGAATATTAAAAATCAGAAGATGGCAACATGTTGCCAAAAACCGAACAGAATGGCGACGAATCTTAGAGCAGGCCAAGATCCACAGAGGATTGTCGAGCCAAAGATGATGATGATATAAAAAAATAAGATCATTATATAATAATAATTATGTTATTTGAAATAATTTTAAACACTGTAGCGTTTTAAATTTGTCTGACCATAAAATATTTATATTTCAAATTTTGTAGTTCACCACTGAGCCTTATATAAATATTTTTGTAAATCATGAATGTGTTGCTTGTGTGAGTCCATATCAAATAGGTAAAGAAATAATAATAAGACTTACTCACAATCAATTTAATTTAACAATCTGACGACCGGTTTCGCTTTCTACAATTTGCAAAGCATCTTCAGGTCGAGATACAAAGTTAAACTAATGCTGCAATAAAATAAACCCAATTAGGGTGGTGTCTCATAAAGATAAAATAAACAAATAAATTAGTTCATACAAATTATAGAAATTATGCCAATATTACATGTCTGTGGTTTTCAAAATGAATAATTTGAATATATAAAAGGTATTAACAGACAAGGTAAGGCCCACAATTGGTATAAAGTAGCAATCTTATATTGTAATAAATTAATAAATGAGCAAATAAATAAAACAAAACAAAACAAACATTACTTACATGCCGGTACAATTGATGGATGGTAGGTCATGGTTGCAAAAATCATGTATTGTTGATTGGAGAACTTTAATGTGCTATTGCAGTTGTTTTGACAATAAACGGGAAGTTCTTGAGGAGAACAGATTTGATCCAATGAATTAGAGATAGGTATATTGTGGTTGTTTGTCAGATGAAAGTGATGTTCTTTACTATTGTATTAATTTAAATTGTGTAAATAATTTAAATTAATACAATAGTAAAGAACATCACTTTCATCTGACAAACAACCACAATATACCTATCTCTAATTCATTGGATCAAATCTGTTCTCCTCAAGAACTTCCCGTTTATTGTCAAAACAACTGCAATAGCACATTAAAGTTCTCCAATCAACAATACATGATTTTTGCAACCATGACCTACCATCCATCAATTAATAGAGTACCGGCATGTAAGTAATGTTTGTTTTGTTTTGTTTTATTTATTTGCTCATTTATTAATTTATTACAATATAAGATTGCTACTTTATACCAATTGTGGGCCTTACCTTGTCTGTTAATACCTTTTATATATTTAAATTATTCATTTTGAAAACCACAGACATGTAATATTGGCATAATTACTATAATTTGTATGAACTAATTTATTTGTTTATTTTATCTTTATGAGACACCACCCTAATTGGGTTTATTTTATTGCAGCATTAGTTTAACTTTGTATCTCGACCTGTAGATGCTTTGCAAATTGTAGAAAGCGAAACCGGTCGTCAGATTGTTAAATTAAATTGATTGTGAGTAAGTCTTATTATTATTTCTTTACCTATTTAAATATTTTTGTCTTTTTGTACGCATTCAAAATCACTCAAAGAAAAAATCGAGTTTCGAAGTAAAAAAAAATCAATATAATACGTGTAATTTCTACATATTTAAAAGTAGTTTGTTTCAAGGTCGCTTTGTGACATAGTTGAGGCCTGTTTTAAAAACAAGAAATTCATGTTGTGGAGGCAAGAAAAAGGGTTGCCCTCCCCGGTATTAGATTGAGGTCAGGAGACTTCAGGCAGGTTGAAAAATGTAACGAAATGATGCAGACACGATGTAGTGAAGCTCACCAAGAACCGGCGAGTTAGTGGAAAAATTACTCTCTGTAATATGACAGATTTAGAAAAGAGTAACCAATATTTAAGAGATTTGCGCAGTATAGAATAATATGGAAGATATTTAAAGCAGTATATAGGGTGTTATAATTGATTTGGTTCCAATCTCAATTTTATTTGTTTCCGGTCGTTTTTCCAGTCCAGTTTAAAGCAGTCCTTTTGTATAGCAGAGGTTTTAGTAAGTTCCCATTTAATCCTCAGAAGTTTGTGCAAAATTGTATGTGAATTAAAGGTAACATTTTGTATTAATAATAAAATAGACCTTTTTGCTTGATTGATGAATCGAGCAGGGAGACATGTAGTCCTTAAAGTAATTTAAAAATCTATCCATTGTCATCGACCTAGAGTCAAAACATAATCAAAATGTAACATTTGGAATGCTGTAAATCCATACATGGAGGTCTCATAGACAACTTTATTGTTAGCTATAAGTACACAAGGCACTGAGGATGATCTGTTCAGATCGAAAACGTTCTGCTAGAACTTAAATTTTGACGACACTTTTTATAAAGTTTTAACTATTTGTTTTTTATACCACAATACACATGTGTGAAGTGTTTTAACTTCTGTGTTATTTTAAACGATGGTATACAGCTAACTACAGGGTTTTTTTCTATTAATTTTAATAAAATATTGCTTACCAAATCAGTACTCATTGTGTTACAGCCTCTAAGAGGTAGCGTGTATTCAATGGGTGTTTTAGTCTCGATCCATTCGCCCAAACAAGAACTATTTTTGGACAACCCTCTGGGATAAACCATTCCATTAAATCGTCCTGAGATGGTGCCGATATTGATAACGATTTGATCGTTATTGCACTGAACTCGAACATCCGACGCAACTTCAGGTGCACCTACAATAAAGAAAAGTTGATTAAATATTGTAATATTTAAATATTGTAATGTTCATTTTAATTTACATAAAGGGTTCTAAAGCTAATACTAAAACACTACTAATTTATAGAATTGATTTATTTAACTGTAAGAATTTATATTTTAGACTAACCCTAAAATCTAAATTTCTCTATATATATTTCGCCTCACTCTTCGAAAAGCTTCCAGGACCAAGTGGAATTCTTTCGATACACGATAAGATAGCCGTATAACTTCTCCGACCGCCGCGAGTATTTAATCAGGGGTGTAGGCTTTACGTAACAATATTACAATAAATCATTTCAACGAATATTTTTTTTCATATTATCCGTTATTTATATAATATGTAAATAAAAAGTGAATTATTGTTAAATACTACATGTTTTGGTGTTTTGGGAATAAATCACAATTATAATAAATAAAAATAGTTTGATTTTAACATAACTATGTTTTCAAGTTCTATCTCATTCCACAATGATTTGCAAGTATTCTTATATATTACGTTCATACATCAATTCATTGAAAGATTGGATGTTTCTTTCAGGTCCCATGCTTCACTGCTATAGCAGGCTTGTGGTCGAATTAAGATTTTATAGATTCTGATCTTTGTATTTCGGTGGACATTTTTAGGCCGAAATATATGGGAGAGGGCAAAATAGGCTCTGTTTGCCTGCGTTATTCTCTTCCGTATTTCTCCATCTTCTGATCCGTCGGCATATATTTCTACTCCTAGGTATGTAAACTTTCCAATCGTTTCAATGTCATCTTCATGTATAATAATGTTTTGTGGAAATATATTTCTTTTCGTCTGTATAATTATTTTTGTTTTTTCTGTGTTAATTTCCAGATCTAGCCTTTTCGTTTGTGTTTTTAACCCTGTGTATGTTTCCTGTGTTCTTGTTAATGTTCTACTCATGATATTAATATTATCGGCATAAGCGGTCAGTTAAACCGTTCGGTTGGTCAGTAGGTTTCCTTGTCCAGTTTGCATTTGCCTAACCGCATACTCCAGTGAAAGGTTGGAGCCAGCCCATCTCCCTGCTTTATTCCCTGAGAAGTCTGTCCGGTGGTTTTGTATTCGTACACAGCCTGAGTTTCATCCATTCTGGCTTTAATGAGTCTAATTAGCTTGTGTGGTATTGCCAATTCAGCAGATATATTGTAGAGTTTGTTCCTTTTGACTGAGTCGTATGTGTGTTTGAAGCACGTTGTGCACATCAATGTCATGTTCCCATGATTTAGTCAAGATTTGTTGATATTTATTGTAAATATTTAATCCGTCGATCTTCCCGGTCCGAAGCCCGTCTAATACTCTCCAATAATATGTTCTGCTAGTGGTTTGAGAAGCTGGTTTATAATATACTGCACTTTATAATATAAATTTATATATTGCACTGGAGTTTGTCTTCTTTTTTATAGATCGGGCATACTTTACTTTTCTTCCAGTCGTCAGGTATTTTCTCGTCAGGTATTGCCATATGTCTTTAATAAGCGCGTGGATGTGACTTGCAAGGTAGTCGCCACCTACCTTATACAATTCTGCTGGTATTTCGTCAATTCCCGGGCTTTATTGTTTTTCTGGGCTTTAATAGCTTCGAGAACTTTCTCTATGGTTGGAGCTTCTACTCCATTCTCTTCTACCTAGTTCGTACCCATTTCTCTCTTCGATGTTTACCTATGTACCAACTAGGGTCCGAAAATAATGCTTCCAGGTTTCTGTGACTTTCTGTTGGTCACTGATTATTTGCTCACTTTCATCTTTACATAGACTTGTTTGAGGTTTATACCCACTTTTTATCTTTTTTAGGTATTTGTAAGCCACTCCATTTTCATAGGCTCTTTTTTATTCCTACATTTCTTGTCGGCTTTCCGTATTGCATCTTCAAATGATATTCGTCTTTCCTGTGGTATTCTTGTTATATACATTTTGTGTGATTCATTTCTTTCTTCTATTGTTTGTCTGCACTCGTCATCGAACCATGCTCTTCTTGCATTTTTCTTGTTTCTCAAGGTGGATGATGCCGCTGTCAGTGTTTACAGTTCTAGCGTCCTTAACTCATTTACGACTTCTTTTTCGAACTTCCCTTTTCATTCCTTAATCTTCAGTGTTTCCACGTCCAGTTTGTTTGTTCTTTGTAGTCCTTTGTTTCTTTCTTCGTTAACTCTGCATCTCAATTTGGTTTGGAGTAAAAAATGGTCTGATCCACAGCATGCTCCTCGACGTGTTCACACACACACACACACACACACACACACACACACACACACACACGCACATGTGTGTGTCCCACATAATCAGTGGGACCCTCATGTCCGAAGATCAGACCAGTCTTGTTCCAAAAGGAGATAGTCATTTTGGCTCGGCACCCATCTGACCCCCAGGTTTTTCCTCCACCCCTCCTCTACGCCTGACATACGCAGAGGAGGGTATGAACTATTACGTCGGGCGATTTTTGGAAAAGAAAACACCCTTCGTTTTTCTTCACTTGTGGTTAGGCCACCTGACTGTAGGGGTAGCTTAATGTAGCTTTTCTCCCTATTTACTTTACTGAGTTTTGTAGCTTGACTTGGGTTCTGTGTCCCGGAAAAATGTGTGTTCGATCAGGGGATCGGCAGCAGGCTGCCGGCCCTCTGTTCGCATGTTGTATGCTCGATGATGCAGTCGACAATTTGGCAAAACAAGATTTGGTCTCCTTGCCGGCTGAGTGATCGATGGGTCTGGCCATCGAGTCCGTGTTTGTCAGTGTGCTCAGGTTTCTCGGTTCCCTAGGGCAATTTGGTCGTGAAGGACTGTTTCCCGAAGGGTCTTTTCTCTGAAGGGCATGCCTGAAGGGCCTTAACCTTATAGGCTTTAGTGAAGTGTGGATCTGTGTACAGCTGTTTTAATTTCTTTACAGTTAACAGTTTGTTTGTTAGTATGGGTTTTTGGGTGAAAATATTAGAGGGTGGGGTTTAAGGGCGGGTCGACGTGTTCTCACATCTAAGATATTACTGACTGCCCTTTTGTCTATCAGCACATGGTCGATTTTATTGGTTATGGTTCCATCTAGTGAAATCCATGTCATTTTGTGTATTTCTTTATGTGGGAAGCATGTGGAACTTATAACCATGTTTTTACTGCTGGCAAAATTTATCAAAAACTCCCTATTCTCGCTTGTTTCATTGTGCAGTGGGTGTTTTCCTGTTGGTTTTATTGTGCAGTCGATGTTTTTCTATTGTGCCATAGATTTGGGGTTCCTTGAATATTTTAGCATTTATATCACCCATTATAATCTTGATGTCATTTTTGTTTAATCTACTTTTCCTTTTACTTCTTTCTATTCTTCTGTCTTGAGCTGTTACTAATTGCGCAAAAAGTTTCCGGTCTCATATAATGTATTTTTACGCATATTTTGGCTAATTCGACGGCAATTACATTTCCTGCTACCTCAGTGTAGGAGGAAACCTCCAAGGATCCATAGAAGTACCATTCAAGTACAATTTTGAAATTAATCACAGGTAATTTCAGTGCCTTTGATTGATTATTGGACATTATGGCAATGAAGTTTATTTTGCCCAGATAATTAAAAATTTCTGCGTTTTGGTCATTAAATTGTGATTTGTATCGTATCTCACAATTTACTTTGTCTTTTTATAATAATGTCGATATAAATAAGACAGTAAATAGAAAAACAAACATGAAAGAAACACACAACCACCTCTTTCTATTTTTAATTAACCATTAAATTGTTAAAATTACAGTTTAACAAATTACTGATAAAATACATGACAAATAATATAAATTTAATCATGCGCTTATTACCGATAGAATATTTTAACTTTACAATTAATTCACCAACCTTCAACATAATTGATTCTATTGATATGAAATTTTATTAATTGTTTATTTAGAATGTTGACGGTCCTCCAATTTAACAATTCTTTAGCAAAATATTTAACATCGCCAATGCTAGCAAATATTTCACTGTTTGTTGTATATATGCAGATGAGCTCAAGGACGCTACCTTGTTAGATTCCACATACATCAAGCTCTATTGCTCCGTTAATTAGTTACTCGTGGTGATTTAATACATTAAATACATTTAAAAAAATATTTTTATAATTAATGATAATAAAACTGTGTTTACATTACCAAGAGGAAATAGACTCATCGACGATGAGTGCAAACTTCTAAAATAAAAGATTATTAATAGATATTTCGCATTTCTTATTTTCACATGTTGTCCTCACTTTGGAGGTTGCCAATTACCAAGGGGGTTTATTTTTTTCTAAATTACTCATCTAAGTGGTAACTGGTTATTGTTGGCGTCATTTTTTAATCAAAAATATTTTTTTCCTTTCGATTCTCGAATCAAAAATTGCATTGGTTTTTTTGCAAGTTTCGTGGCTTGTTTTCCACGTGCTATTTTTATCTCTACATCTTTCATAAAAGTACCATCTTGGCTTATCATTAACTCTTCTTCTTCTTCTTCTTCTTCTTCCTTCTTGTATATAGGCTTTAAAGTCTGTTTCTTCCTCAATATTAGCCTCCTTCTTGTTCAGCCTTAAGTAATACAACTTTGAACATAGGCCTTCCTCAAATCAATTTGGTCTCAAGTTTGGTCATTCAGAATTATATCTGTGAAGTTTATACAGACGACCAGCTGACTGGCCCTTCAATCACCAAAGAGGAGATAGAAAAGGCAATATTAAATTCAAAAAACAATAAGGCACCTGGACCAGATGAAATCCCGTCAGAAATACTCAAATTACTAGATGAAAGGGGAATTTCAGCACTACACAAAATATTTAATTTAATTTATGAAACTTGCTGCTATCCTCAACAGTGGTTACACTCTACCTTTATTCCCCTGCCCAAGAAAGTCAATGCAAGAAGATGTGGGGATCACAGACTCATTAGCCTGATGAGTCACACTTTAAAGATATTCTTAAAAATACTACATCAAAGATTATACAAAAAATGTGAATGGGACATCAGTGA